GGATGGGGTAACAGGAGGACTTTGGGGATTGAGAGGGTGGGGGGCACTGCAGCAGGCCTCAGTGAAAGTGTGGGCTCCCTGGTTCCCCCTCACAGAGTGACTGTTGGCTGGGGAAGCGAGAGAGCAGCCCCAGGCATGGAAGTCCTGAGTCCCCTCCTCCCTGCAGAAGGAACATGGCCTGGGGCTGAAAGCAGGATTGTGTCTCCTAAGGTGACAGCCAGGGACAAAGAGTTCCATCCCTAAGGATCGTGTACCTGATTTTCTGAGCTGCACAAAAGCCTTGTGACCCCAGGCCGCAGCTGGGGTGCTGGCAGGAGCCAGGATCACCCTTGCCAGCATGCTCTCAACCTTTCTTCCCAGGCACCCCAGAATTTTGGCTGAGCTGAGAAATGCACGGGAGGGGGAGGGGTGGGGACACAATCCAGAGTCCCATCCCTCAACCACCCAGCATTTCTGTCACTTCCTGTAGGGTAGGCCAGGAGTGGGCGGCCACACAAAGTTGCAGTGGTCTGAAGTCCCCCTCCTTACCCATGCTGCTCGCTGGTATGCCTTGGTCCTGCTGGTCGGCCTGGGGAGGACAGAGAAGGGACGCTGTGCTGGTGGCAGAGGTAAGCAGTGCCTGGGAGGCTCTGCCTGGGAAGGAGCAAAAGTAGGAATTTATTTGACTGGTGGGGGTGGGCGGGGCAGAGGGAGGACCAGGGCTGCAGCCCAGGGTGAATGGGAAAGGGCAGCTGACCAGGAAACTCATGTGCCCTGGGCAGCTGGTGTTTGAGCTATGGGGTGTGTGTGTGCAAGTCTGTACATGTGCATGCGTGTGTGTCCGTGCATATGCAGCTCTGTGCTGTGCCTGTGCACGTCTCCAAATTGGGCGCCTGGACATGTGTGAGTCTGTGTGTGCTCCTTCGCTACCTCTGTGTTGCTCGTGTGGCTGCTTCTATGTATGTGGCTGCACGAGTGTGCGTCTGTGTCCATGTGAAAATCTGTTCTGTGTATGTGTGTGAGGGTACCTTTGTGTCTGGACTAGTGTGTGTCCTCTGTGCCAATGTGACGTGTGTCCACCAGGATCTTTAGCCTGTGTGGGTGCATGCATATGTGCCAGTGTGGGTTTGTGTGAGCCTGTGGGTGTCGCACACGTTCCTGGGCATGCAAACGCTCATCTGTGTACTTGGACCTGTGTCTTGGCATGTAGGGACCCAGGGCTGTGGGCCCGTTTGCGCCTATCACCACAGCCAGGTAGGCTCTCCCTAGTGTTACCCTGTTAACCCAGACCTCGTGCTCCGACAGGCACCGTCCTACCCTTCGAAGGCCTGCAAACCCATGTGTTCTTGCCACAGCTGCCCGACAGGAAGCAGGACTGGCTAGAGTGTCCAGGTTCCACTTTCCCCAGGCCCAGTCATTCCCCCTGAGATTTGAAATAGAAGGAAATTCCTCAATGTCCATTATTACCCTCATAATCCTCAGGAGGGGGCAGGTGCCTGGTTCCTCCATAGCTCACCAGGGTTGTGTAGCATGAGCCCAGGGTAGCCCAGCCTGGTGCCACTGTCCCTAGCTGACCTATGACAAATCACAAAACTCTCACGTCTTCATCTATCCAGGAGGGAGCCCTCCACCTGGAGAATTCTTGGCTGCCAGGGTGCTGGGCCTGTCAGTACAGTGTCCCGGGACATGCCGTGGTCCCCAGGCAGATGACGGCTGCTTGCTGAGGAACCCAAGCAGGGTTGAGGCGTGATCTGTTACCTCCCCCTGGGGCTGCCCTCCTCCATAGAAGCCGGGGTTTGAAGGGCTGGACAACAGAACACCCCCTAAATTGGTCTCCATCCTAAGCCAAGGCTCCTCCTTTCCTGAAAGGTGGCTGCCTGACAGGGTAAGTCCCGCCCCTCTCTTCTAGAAAACTGCTGACTCTGTGTCCACAGAGCCATTTTCATCTCTTTGGATGAAAGCTCTGCGGTGACATTTTGACTGGATAGCGAAAGGGATAAAGTTTGGGCTTGAGATTACCCGGCGCAAGAGCCACGGGGTTTCCCAAGCAGCGACGTGGGAAGGAGAGTAGAATTGGTCCTCGTGTGAAGGGTGTGTGTCCTCCTGGGTCCCATGGGTGAGGGTCATGTGCCCTAAAGGAAGAAGCTCTGTGGCTGCCCAGGGCACGGGTCCTCCCTTGTCCCGAAGTCACTCACCGCCCTTGGCTCTTTCCTGTATCTGCATCCTGCCCATTGCAGTGTCGCTTGGCATGGGCTGGGGGGTGCAGCTGCCCCCCCATGGGTGGCCCCAGAGGGCTGCTTCTTCCCCTTTGTCAGCTTCCTGTCTCCTGGCTGCCCCGGCCTCCTCTGCCTTCACCCTGCCTTTCTGGACCCCTTGTCCTGAGGCCTCCATCTTTTAGCTGCCCTCCACGCTCCTGCTTTTTGGCTTGCGTCCAACATCCAAGGTCTGAAAAAGGAAGCAGCCTCATTCCCATCCAAGGTCTGAAAAAGGAAGCAGCCTCATCCCCACCCTCTTATCAGGAGCTCCTGTGTTTAACTCCAACAAAGTGGTTATCTGGCTGGTTCTAGAGCCTGTCATTGAGGGCATGTTCTTTCATGCCCTGTGCTGGGACCTGGCTGGTCTCTGTGGCGTCTTCATGGCACGCTAACCTCAGGATTTGTCCCCAAGTCATCTGATTGCAGAGCTCACAGTTTTCCAGGTCACCCTATGATCATTCTTGTTTGTTTTGCTTTGTTCATTTTGTGGGGTCAAGGGGTGGTGTAGCCCCAAACCAGAAGGAGGGTGTGATCTTGTTTCTGGCAGTCTCAGGACAGACTTCCTGTGAAATGGGAAGAAGCAGACCGAGCAGTGAAGCCTTCATGGGGGAGATGGGAGGAGTGGTGGAGACCCCGGGGACGTAGAAAAGACTAGAAGTCTTCACCAAGTGCCAACCGTGGTTACCTCTGCAGAGGCACCGGAAGAAGGGATTGATTCTCCATTTCTACTTGATATGCTTCTGTATTTAAAAAAGAAAAAAAAGGGTCCGGCCAAGTGGCTCAGTTGGTTAAGAGCATGAGCTCTGAGCAACAGGGTCGCTGGTTCGATTCCCACATGGGCCAATGAACTGCGCCTGAGCTGAGCTGCCACAGAGGTGCCAACAGGTGGCAGGATGGCTCAGCTGGTGAGAGCACGTGCTCCTAACAACAAGATGGCCGGTTCAACTCCCGCATGGGATGGAGTGCTGTGCTCACCCACAAGTAGGATTGAACAAGCACCTTAGTTGAGCAGCCGCTGAGCTGCCGATGGGTGGCCGGGTGACTCAGTGGTTACAGCATGCGCTCTTAGCAACAAGTTTTCCGCTTCGACTCTCGCATGGGATGGTGGGCTATGCCCACCAGCAACTAAGATTGAACACGGCACCTTGAGCTGAGCGGCTGCCAGCTGCCGACGGGCAGCCGGATTGCAACTGGACTTGGAGCTAATCTAGCTGCACCCTCCACAACTAAGATCAAAGGACAACTTGGCTGTTCCCCTTCCCCAATTACCCAACAATGTTCTCCTTCCTCAATTCCCCAATTAAAAACAAACAACAACAACAACAACAAAAAACAAGCTAATAAAAAAGTAAAAAGAAATAAAAAGAGGAGCATGTATTACTTTTGTAACCAAAACACCAAATCAATGTATATTTGCATACATGCATAGAAAAGAAGAATAGACAATCATATGTGGTGCCGGTGAGGGCCACCGTGGCAGCCGTGCTGGGGAGGACTGGCCCTGGTCCCTGTCACCTGCAGCTGTCCCACCAACATGCCTGCCCCTCCTTTACATGACACATACTCATTCATTCAATCAATCTTGCACTCCACAAACATCTCAGGAGCACCTGTTTTGGTAGAGAAAGTAGTGAACAAGGCAAAATTTCTGCCTTCGTAGAGATGACATTCTAAGGATGACAGCCAATAACCAAGTGAACTTATAAACAAATAAGATGATTTCAGGTGAGTGCTTGAAGGAAGCAGGAAAATGGAAGGCTGACTGAGCGAGCACCGTTAGATAGGGTGTCTGGTCTACACAGGTGAGGATTTGAATGCAAACGAACGGTCATGCAAACTAAAACCTCAAAAACACACACATGTATAGACTACATCATGTAGCAGCCCGTGGAGGCCTGCGGAGGACTGGCTGGTCAGGCCGAGGTTTTCACCAGCTCAGCAGACATTCTGGGCCTTGTCCTGCTCATTTCTTCTCGTTTTAAGAGACCAGCTACACGCCCTGAGAGGAAGAAAGCATTTACTGCGAACCTGTTACCAGGTGTCAGTGGCGCCAGGCTGAGCTCTGCACCCAGCACTTAGCTCCGGTCCTGCCCACTGCAAACCTGGAGATGTAAGTGGCTTTTTGTGCATCGCACATCAAGGAAACAGTATTCCTAGTTCCTCCAGCTCCTGGCCCTTGTCTCTCGGCATCTCCCTGTCTCTGAGCAATGCTGAGTTCAAGCCAGTTGCTCAGGGTATAAACAAAGCTTACAGAAGAGAAATAAAATCAAACAAAACACAGTGCCCTCTGCTAGGGCTTTCCACAAAGGGCATGCTTTGAGGGGCACCTGGAGGGCTTCCTCCCACCTCCAATCCACTCAGAAATATCCTCCCTTTGGCTTGTGTTGATGCTTGAAACTTACAGGACAGTCTCCTCTGACCTCGGGGCTGCAGGGCTTACCACTGGGGGTAAGCTCCTAGTCCCCTAGCAGGACCAGTGTTAGCAGATGCTTGCCTCCCAGTGGGCGGTGCTCAGTGGCTAGTGGCCTAAGGACCAGAGCAAGGGAGACACTAAAGAGGGGAACGAAAGTGTTTAAAAGCTGCTGTTACCTTCTTACCTCTTTATCCCCATCTCTTGAGAGTGAAGAGTAGAGAGAGTAAGGGAGGGAGATCTAGTTCTCTCTCTTAGAAAATTTCAATACACGAGGTCAGATATTTAAGTTTGCAGACTCATCCTAGAGAAAGTATTACGTACCTCACATCGCCTGTGGGCCCCAATGGCTCCCTCGATGTAACTGGGCTATCAATTCCCTCATGATTGGCTTAGAGGGCATTTCTCTCCCGTCTGGCAACAGCCATCTTCCCTCAGAATTTTTGGAAGCTCCTATCTTGGTTAATTGACCCTCCTCCTGAGGAGTAAAGACTGGGGTAGTAACCGGAGGGGGTAGGACAGAAGTGAGGTGGAAAACTGGAGCTTCTGGCTGGAGTGCTGCTTCCTCAGCAGCCTCATCAGCAAGTCTATTTCCTTGTACTTCTATAGAGTACCCCCTCTGGTGTCCTGTTATGTGAACTATAGCTATTTCCCCAGGCAACTTTAGGTTTTCTAGGACCTGAGGGATTCATTCCTTGTGTATTAGATTTCAGCCATTACTGTTACTAAGGCCTCTTTCCGTCCAAATGTTTCCACATGTGTGTACCACCCCAAAGGCATATTTGGAATCTGTGTAGATAGTCCCCTCCTTTTCCTTTAGAAGTTTCAAGGCCTGATTTAGTGCAAACTACTTGCATGTCTGGGCTGACCAGCCATTTAAGTATCCTTCCTGATTCAATAACAGCGGGTTGCTCTCCATCTACAATAGAGTATCCATTATGTCTTTTTCTTTCTAGTACTTGGGAGGAACCATCTACAAAGATTTTTAGCCCAGTTAGGAGTTTCCCTAAGGTCTGGCCTAACTTTTGTCTGATAGTCTATGAGGTCCAATGAACAATGTTCAATCGGTTCTGATGATTTACTTCCAATTAGAAAGGTAGCTGGGTTCAGACAATTGTCTGTGGTCAGGATTAGATCGTCCCTTTCTAACAGGACGGCTTCATACTTGAGAACCATAGAATCCGTCAACCATCTGCCTGCCTTTTGATGAAGAATTGCCCCGACTTGGTGTAGTGTGCTAACAATTAATTGTCCTCCAAAGGTTATTTTCCTGCTCTCTTCAGCTAACATTGCAGTGGCCACTACGGATCGGACACATTCTGGCCAGCCCCTTGTTACTGGATCGGGGAGCTTGGATAGATATGCTACTGGCTGTCTTTTACCTCCATGTTCTTTGGTAGGACTCCAAGAGCAGTACCTTTATCGATATTGACAAAAAGGTGAAAGGGCTTTTCTAACGAAGGTAATGCTAGTCCAGGGGCAGTAATAAGGGCCTGTTTGAGGACTTCTATTAATTCTATTTCTCTAGGTTTCCAGAGGAGGGGTCCAGCTCTTCGTCTAACAGTTTGAGATATAGATCCTTGGTCTTGAGAGCATATGAGGCTGTCCATCACCTGCAGTATCTCATTAGTCCTAAGAGTTTTTGAAGTTCCCTCCTTGTGTTTGGTAAGGGTGTATTGATTATTCCTGAGATCTGTTCGGGGCTCAAGCTTCGCCTCCCTTCGCTTATCAGGGTCCTAAGTACTTGACTTCTTTCTCTACAAATTGTAATTTGGTCTTGGAGACTGGTAGACCCTGTTGACCAAGGAAATTTAGTAAGTCTATGGTAACATCTACCAATTCTTCCCTTTGACTACCTGAGAGTAGCAAATCATCTGCATATTGAATCAGTTTGATAGGGAGGGGGGAAGTGCAAACTTTTCTAGTACTTGTGCTAACACTTGTCCAAATAGATTTGGTGACTCCGGTAAATCCTTGGGGAAGGACAGTCCATCTGTATTGTTTCCTACTAGTAAAGGCGTCTTCCCATTCAAAGGCAAATAGGTCCCTGCTTTCCTCAGCTAGGGGGCAGGCCCAAAAGGCATCTTTCAAGTCCACTACACTAAACCATTTATGTTCTGGTGGGATCTTACTGATGCGAGTATAGGGGTTTGGGACCGTGGGGTGTCTGCTTTGAACTATCCGATTGACCGCCCTTAAGTCTTGAACAAGGCAGTGGGACCCACTGGGCTTCTTTACTGGTAGTATTGGAGTGTTGAAGGGAGACATACAAGGTTTAAGGAGGCCATCTTTAACTAGGACTTCTGCCCTCTATGATAGGTTTTAGTCCTAGTCTCCCTTCTAGAGGTATGGGATATTGTTTTCTTTTAACTGTCTCTCCTTTGTCCTTAAGTTCAACCCGAAGAGGGGAGATCTTTAACCCACCCCGACTACCTTCCCTTGACCAGACTTCAGGGAGTATCTTTAGTTCATCCTTTGTGGATAGAAAGTTTAGGGAAACTTGAATTTTCTCTTATGTGATGTTAAGTCCTATTCCTAGCTTAGACATTAAATCTTGACCGAAGAGGTTAGTTCCAGCTTCAGGGACAAAGAGGAACTTTATCTGTGTCTGACTGCCCTGATATATGACCTGAGTTTCTTCAAAGATGGGGCCTGTAAATTCCTCCCCTTTTACCCCTGAGACCAGTAGATGGGTTTTAGATAGGTTCAAGCCAGAGGGGTGTAGGGAGAGAGAGGAAGGAGCTGCTCCTGAGCCAACTAGAAAGATTAGCTCCTCTTTCTTGGGTCCTGCTTCTAAATTTATCAAGGGCTCTTGGTAGGACCCCTGGTTGTAAAAGAGCCCCTGACTTCCCTATTCTTCCTCGAAGGTCATGAGAGGTATTAACTTTCTCTTCCCTTTTTAGCTCAGGGCATTCTCTCTTAAAGTGACCCTCTCTTCCACAATTGCAATACTTGTTTCTACACTTGGGGTTGCTCTGGGGTCGTGTTCCTCTTGGCTGCCCCCCAGGCCTTTGGCCTCTGGGTCTGGCCTTTCCCTTAGTAGCTTGTTCTATAGTAGAGAGCATTATCTTGGCCTTTTGTTTTTGTTTTTCCTCATCTCTTCTTACATATACCTACTGAGCCTCTCTTAACAGCTCCTCTAAACGTCTATCTTTCCAGCTTTCTAGTTTTTGTAGCTTCTTGCAATGTCAGGCCAACTGTTTGTTACTAAATGGAGCTTCAGCGTTCCTTGTTCTAGTGGATCCTTTCGGCTCAATCCAGAATATTTTCTCATCTGATCTTTAAGCTTGCTGAGAAACTCAGCTGGTCCTTCCTCTTTTCCCTGCTGTATGTCAAAAGCTATAGTAATGTTCTGGATGCGGGGCACTGACTCCTTTATTCCCTTTATAATCAG